AATTTATTTTATTTATTTTTTTAAAGTAGGCAAAAGTACCATCTTAAAAGATCATCTACTCTACTGCATGGATACCTGCATCTCTCCACTGATTAAAACCTTTATCTAGTATGGAAGGTAAAGAGGGATTATCAGCTATGGGAAGTGATAAAGGTAACGTTTCCACCCCCAAAAAAATGTGTTGTTTTTTTTTCCAAATACGAATGACATTGCAGGGTTACTTCTGTAGATTTCCTTTTTACATTTTGTTGGTGAAAGAATCATGGCACCAAGGGGGTACATTAATCCTGTTCTAATCTCAGCAAGTCCAGGGGCCCGTTCTTCGTACCTCGCTTAATACATCTGAGATGATTTGAAAGATGCCAGATGTATAGATAACTGATCTCTGGCTAATTTGGTTCTTCAAACGAATTTGCGGATTTGATTAACATTTCTGGATTAAAGGGGTCATATGATGCGATTTCAATTTTTCCTCTTGGTGCATAAAGAAGATCTGTAAAGTTGCAAAGACTTGTCCATGCCCTCCTAAAACGCCTCGTTTAAGTACGCCCCCACATGTCTACGTCACTGTGTGGGAAGATTTGCATAACACCTCCCAAATGTTCACGCCAAGAAAGAAGGCTTAACTTTTATTCTCGCTGTAGTATTGTTGTTGCCGCTGTTGTGGAGATGCTGTGTGTTTCGTTGTGAAAGCGAAACTACTTTGTTTGGCCTTCCAAAAGAGGCCGATATCAACTTGGTCATGCCTAGAGCTGATCCGTTCTGGTCGCTGAGGAAATACATCAACTTCGCGCTGTGGATCGCCAGATCGGCTTTCACCGTGGACGAAGCAGAGTCCAGCCCGGGGTCGTCACATGTGGTTGCCGCAAGGTGGAAAATAATGTGTTTTTTTAACCTTAAACCGCACAAACACAGGGCTCCAGACTAACACTTGAGAGCAATGGCGCCAGCGCCACTAAGTTCCACAGATGGTGGCGCCAGGAGCAGATTTGGTAGCGCTGGGGGTGGTGTGTGGGAGTATTAAAATATAGATCATTTAATCATAAAAGTACTATTGTTTTGCAAGTGCAGTTACTAATAATAGTTCATGTTCATTTCTTGTTTTTCTTTTGTTTTATTGTTTATACAGAAAATTTATATATTCCACTCTTATTAAATGTACCATTATTCTTCTAGTATATGGAACTGACCAACTTCAGTGATTGTGTGATTTAGTAGCAAATTGAAGAAAAGTTTGTTTTCATTGTGCGCAAACACTTCTCACTGAATATCGCAGCACTGTTGCATCTGTGCAGTAACAGTGTCGCGAATCGCGAAATGGCTCCTGAGTAAAGCTGTTCTGAGCTCGGACAAGTTTGTTTGCGTCGCGGTCCGAGCTGATAAACGGTCCACGCCGGGCAGCTGAAACGTAGCTCGGTTTAGTTTCGCTTGCCGTTTGATGTTTCTCAAATGTAACAGAAATGGCAGCGCTTATGAGCTGGACAACGCGGTGGTCGCGCCAGTGCGACCGCTCACAAAAATTAGTCGCACCGGCAGAAAAAATGGTCACAGTCTGGAGCCCTATAAACACATTGCATTACACCAAATACACAACATAATGTTCTTTTTAGCAACGTCATATGACCCCTTTAAGTTGTCTAAGATTAGTGCGTGTTGTCGTGTTCCCCGTAAAGGGCAGATGTATCGATACTCAAAACCACGATCAGAAATGCAGCGATTGGCTGGCGGCAAGATAGCAAGGCAATGACATCATATAATAAAAAAAAAAACACCTGACAAAAAACACCAGTAG